TAAATAGCTGGAGCCACAAATGACAGTCCGGTCAAGCACCAGGAAAACTGCTACTTTTCCTATTTAGCTATAACGTCTTTTGAAGAGGTCCCTTTGCTTACATCCTCAAGATAGACATAAACATAGAGCCGTGTGACTCTTGCTTAATGGTTACTGCAGGTAGATACTTCAGAGTACACGGATCACCTCCCTCTTTAATTACCACCACCCATAAGCAATTAAGAAAAACCCTGGGAAGATGAGAGAAAACCCAGGCTCTTCAATTTTTTTAAGGTTATTCAAAGGTTTGAAAATCCAATGTTTGCCTTTGATTACATTTTGGATCTCTCTTACTTAGGAGATCTCCAAGAAAGATGGCCCAAGAAAAAGAAGTTTTGTCATGTCAGGCTTAGGGCTACAATTCAAAGAGTAATATGAAATTTCTGGATGTGCAGCCATTTCGTTCAATCGGTGCTGCGTTCTCCCAGCAAAAAGATAAGTGCTGTAATCATATTGCAATGGCGGCTATGAGTCCTGTTGTGGCCTCCTAGGAGCTGTGTACACACCTTGTAATGGAACAGTTCATGCACCCCCAAAAAGCTTGTAGTCTAAATAGACCAGGTAAACTAAAGGAGAAATGAGGGGCTGAGCTATGGCAAGAACAAATTGCTTTCTGCAAGTGTCTTTTACTGACTTAATCTTCCCATCATTAAGAGTTTCAGAGTAGATGGGACCAGTAATCAAGGACTTTGCCCTACAGCCCCTATATTGAGTAGTCCTGTAGATGGGTATGACCACTGAAATCAGTCGAATCATTGGTGTGCCACATCTCTAGGGGCACCTATACCAGTAACGAATCTCTGCTCCTATGTGTGCTAATTAGCATGCATCAGAGCTGACTTGATTCATCAAGTCTGCTGGAGTGTGCCAATCAGCGCGCTCCAGCAGCCTCCACGTTATGTGTGTCCGGTGTCCCCATGTTTCAAAATAACAGTGGGGCACTTCAAAGCTTTTGAAGCGTGGGATGCTGAATGCATGTGATGCTATGGGCACTTTAATTAGAGTGGCTCTCAGAGCTGCTCTAATTAAGCGTCCCCCACCCCCTAGCACGTGTATAGACGCCACAGAATTCCATTTCCACTTAAGCCCGAGTCAAGTATTTTCAGTTAAAAAACCCTCCACAAAAAACGTAGACAACTGAGTTTTTCTTATTTCGTTCTGATTTTGTGAAATTGTTGCAGCTGCCTAAATTCCTGAAGACACTGTATGAGCTTTAACTTGAAGAAACAGGTGATGGCTTGAGCAGGGCTTCAGTGACTCATTGAAAATGGTTCTAAAATGTGTAAAAGGAAGGAATAAACATCCAGAAGGCAAAGATTACAAAAGTAAACTGTGTTTGCTTAATGTGAGCTGCATGGTGTAGAAATTCCTAGTTTTATGGCCAGGCTGAATTGATAGGGTTCTTAATCTAGTCTTCAACATAACGTAGGCCACAAAATTGGATCTCTTCTCCTATCGTGAGTATCTAGTAGTTATGGATGGGACGGATCCAGGGGGGTGCACTGGTGCACTACCACCCCCACCGATTCCTGGTCTACCCAAAGTTTAAAGCCATTGGCAACAGCATTTGTAGTCAGGCAGTGCTGAGGGAATCACTTGACTTCATGGTTTATTATAATCTACCTCATTCTTTCTGAACAATTTATCCCACAAGCACTTCTTTTTAATGGTCTTGAAGGTCCACCAATCAAACTAGCCTTTGTTCTGCAATTCTGCTGTTTGTTACCTGCTCCTGGTAACAAAGCTCCTATTTCACAGCCCAGCAGATTGTTTTTAACTCATTCCAATGACGTTACACTTGTTTTTGCTTCAATCTCAAAAACAAATAATACAACCTTAGGCCCCTAGCGTATTAGCAAAGCTTCTAGTTTATTTTTAGCTGGATGAAAAAAAAAATGTGCTTTTTTGATATGTGAAGATGCACCTCATCATCTGCACCCCCCGTTTGCAATAGTCTAGATCCGCCCATGCTTATGGAGTTGCCATTAATGTAACACAAAGGAGGTGTTATTGAGGCTGGGTAGATATATGATTGCCAGTGACAGACATAACCCTACAAGTCATCAATACATTCACTAGTTCATTGTCCTTTTTTTTTTTTTAAACGCCCTAAGCATTCATTAAAATCCCAAACATGGGTGGGCTTGACAAACAGACGGGCAAGGAGTGTAAAGGTGCCTATTACTGTTTCAATCTCTGTATATTTATTTGCGGCTAGACGAGCACTGTTTTGTCTCTGCTTTCTGTTCTGGAAGGAAGACATCACAAACTATTTATAGCAATGTGCATATCCCTGCCACTCTCTGTCATCTTCTCTGTGTATAAGCACCTTGGAGTCAGCAAGACCTACTGCTTTCGGTGGTGTGAATTGAGCAAAAGTGTGCAATATAAAATCCAAGGGTCTTCAGTGGGTTTTCAGTGGCGCAGTACCTTGGGGAATCATCTGTGCTTTTGCTGTGTGATCAGAAAGTGGGTATAAAACATTGCCATTTTGCTTTGTTTTTCATCCGTGTGGTGCTTGGTTTCCATGGTGGAAATGGCCATGTATGTGGCACAGAAGGATTTGGAGCCTAAAAAAGCTGTGTTGCCAGGGACCGACACCACCGAGCTGTCTTGCTTTTCATCTTGGAGCGACGGCCTTCCATCCAGCAAATCTGCACGTCATTCCCAGAACACCGCTATGTATAAATAGCCAGCATTTTCTTTTCCTTTTATGTAGGGAAAAATCTTGCTCCCACTGGGGCCATAGGAAGTATGTCTTTGTCTCTAATGGAAGTTGGAGCCAATTTATCTTAGCTGGACTACATGGCCCCCTATGGTCCCTTCCAGCCCTGTTTCTGTATGGGTCTCCAAGGCAGAACTTGGCCTTCAGTAGATGTCTGGCATGGTGCAGAGCAGGTTGGCATGGCGCATGAGCTTTCATGCTTAGGTGTGCTCCCGGCCATGTGTCTAGGCTCATCAGATTTGACACAAAATGTTTCACAGGGCACACAGGATCCTAGCAAGTAGGGCCGAAGCGGACCTCATGAGGTCATCTAGGCCAGCTCAAGCGAGGAACATCCCAGCCAAGTGTCTGTCTAACCTGGTCTTGAAAATTTCCCTGGGTGGAGATGGAAATCACTTCTCTAGGCACGACCGAAAGTCCCTCTTCATCTCCAACCTACATTTCCTCAGGTGCAGTTTGAAGCTGTTGCTCCTAGTCCTGTCCCCTAAAGCCACAGAGAATAGTCAGTCTCTTGCAGGAAGTGGCATTGGTTTATTTGAATCCTTGCTGTTCAGTATGGAGAACAACAGCCCACCGACACTTCCAGAAGGATAGTCGTGGAAGTGCAGGGGGAAGCTGTGTTGCAGCAATGGGATGGCCTAGCTCCTTTGACCCATTTCATCACTGCCCCTGGTTATCCCAGCTAGCAGGGGCATCATTGTCCTGACTGGTGACATGCAGCATTCATCCACCCACAAGCCACGGGGTCCGGTTGCCTAGCCACATCCTTTGGGAGGGCAGGACATCTCTTCCGTAGCCTTGCTGCCTCAGTCTGTGCTCCTTTTAGGATTTATCAGTGAAGCAGGGTTGGCTTGGTAAGTCCTGGCAGTACTGTACCTAGCCTCCTGGCTGTCCCAGACCAACTTTTAGTATCGACCCCCACACCTTCACTAGAGATAATGACAGCATTCAAATGGTGAGTTCAATAATCCCCGTGTACAGTTTTTTCACTTTAATGAGACCTTCTGGGTGAAATGTCCCATGCCAGAAACACAGGCACTAAAGGAGAATCTGTGGTAGCAGTGGGGAGGGGATTACAGCCGAGCAAGTCGAATACCAGCTGTTCCAGGTGGTGCGGTTGCTTTCAAGAGCATCTGGCCGAGATTCCCAAAGAATGGGAATTAAGCATCCAGAGCCTTAGGATGCTTTGCAAAATCCCGGTCTCTATGTACATGATACGTTTATTCTGGTCACTAGTAGATGGGAAATCCAGATAACCCACACGTGGGGGGGTTTCTATCTTCCTTTCCATCAGGAATCGTGTCCTCCAGGGTCCTTCCCTCTGCTCAGCATTTCTCTGTTTCTTTTTTCCAAGACACTCACCCCTGCAGCTTCCTTCCTCTCTCCCCTTCTGGCGACTCTCTGCCTGGGCTCGCAGTTGATTCTTAGCTGTAACCTTACAGACCCAATCCTGATCCCGTCGAGTAAAACTAAAACTCCCGCCGAGCACAGCGTGGAAACGATTTGGCCTTCGGATGGGCAGCGGGGTGGATTTCAGCACTTCATTTCTGCTCGTGCTCAACTTTGTTTAACTTTTTAGATTTCCTTTTTTTTTTTTTCCTCCTTCTAAGGAACGAACCAAAGATGCAGGCATAGTTTTGAGGGTCTCTTGTAATCCTTTGCATCACCCATCTTAAACACAGAAAGCTCTGCCTTGCCCAGGATCCCAACCCGCATGAGCTGTTTGAGGAGCGTATTGCCTCTTTCAGAGAGAGCCCAGCTCTTTAGTGCGGCGCACAATGATCTGAAATAGCCTTTTCTCATTAGAGCGTCTGGTCTTTTTTTCGCCTCAACTCTCTGCACATGGATCTTTTGCCAACATGTGCTTTCCCATATGGTCCTTATTAGCCAGGCTTTCTATCTTGCAGATCTGTTGCCGGTGCCACGAGTTGATGCTGCGAACTCGTTTCCAATGGGCTAAAGAAAAATACAGCGTTAAGGCTGTATCCCTAGGAAAGTGCACGTGTTCGCGTGTGCGTTGTGCGTGCACGTGTGCGAACATTTGTATTCCAGCTTATGCTGGGCTTCTCCATCTCCCCAGCTCGGAGCACCTGGCGAGGGACGATGCTGGAATTCGTGCCTGAATACTTCGTCCAGACCTTGCTGGAAGAGAAAAGAGGAGGAGGAGTTCAAATGGAAAGTAACTCTGAGCTGCTTTCCTGACACATCCAGGCAGGCTCTTGGGGGGTGAGTGGGGAGCTGTCATAGAGGCGGAGCCTGGCAGGATGTTTAAATCGTTCCCACTACCGCTCTTTCCAAACTGGAGGGGCATGGCTTTGGCAAGACAGCAGTGCTTTGCTTCCTTTTTTTTCGCTCTGAGGCAAGAAAAAAAAAAGAGTTGGATTTCAGGGAACTTTTTCTGAGCGCCGGGTTGGTGAAAGAGAGCCCTGTGGAAAGCACACGATGTCTCCGTGAGCCGCTTTCCCCTCCTGTGAGTAGAAATTTCCCTTCCCTTTAACCGACAGTTGTGTATAAGGCCAGAGAAAGAGGAGGAGAAATCAGGAGCCCGCTGTGGCTCACGCTGACTTTTGTCTTCTTTTGCTTCTTTCTGCCTCACGCTGACTTTTGTCTTATTTGGCTTCTTTTTGGGATCCAGTTTCAAAGTCCCGGGAGCTCCAAATCCTGATTTCTGCTGTAACAACCACAGGGGAGTCAGCCAGAGACTGAGTCACTGAGGGGAGGTCTTGGTCCTTTTGCAGATTTGCTCATATAGCGCGGGCCAAAGTTTTTGGCAGTTTTCGACACCCTCCCCCTCCCCGAATGCCATGCTGATCCCCTTCCCTTTTTCAATCTGCTGCTCTGCTTTCTGCTCCCTGCCCTATCCGCTGCTATGCTGGCCGTCCCCCTCCCTGGCACACACGGAGGCCTCTCTCGTGCTGCTTGTGGGACACGTGCTGCAGTTCGGCCACCCCTGCGCTGTTGTAAGGGTCTCGTCTGGAGAGGAGCCCCTAGGAAGGCTGCTATTGATTTTAATGGGGAGTAAAATCGAATGCATAATCTGTGTGTAATTATGTAGGAATGAATGGGGGGTTACTTAGCACACTCAGCACACTGAATAATCAGGGGATGGGCAAGACAAAGAAAAGGGGGTCTCCAGTTCATAGATTTTGAAGGCCAGAGGGGATTCTGGCCGGTGCATAATGGTGGCTTGCTAATATTTTTGTCCAGCACAGGTAGAGAATATATAGTCCCATAGGGAAGATGCATAGGTGGTTCTCTGGTGCACGGGGGATTCGTACTTCTTGTTTTGTTGTTCGACAGCACGTGTCGCTGAGAGGTCCTTTGTGCTGTATTGTCAAGTGTTGTCCCGGGTGTTCGTTGTCCTGCATTGAAAGCTTGGCTTGGCTTCTAAGCACTTTGGAAATCTATAAGGGGGGTATTTATAAAAAACATTGCAATAAAGGCTTTAGAGGTCTCATGTTCTGTTTGACAAATATACAATGTCCCTGGCCAAACACTTGCCAAAAGTCCTGATAGTTAAAACCAAGAATTTCAGTTGGAGGGGGGAGAATGTGTTGGGGGGGAAGGAAGCCTTTCTTTCTGCTTTTTTGGGCTGGCGATATTACTTGCAGCTGCTTTGCCTAGAAAAGGGAGTGTACGCAGGGCATTAGGACATGCCTGTGAAGGTATAGGACCGTGCCTTGCAGAATAAGGATTGCACTGAGCAGGTAAAGACATGACTGCGTGCAAAGCTGAGCATCTCGGTGTATGTTCAAGTGCTAGCAGGAGGCTGTAAGTGCACCGGGCTCTGCTTTGGTGCATCAATAAATAACTTGCATTGCCTGTTAGAGGAATCAAACACCAGCATGAACTGATTAGGACCAGAAGCCCTCCTTCCTGAGCAAGAAATGATTCATTAAATGATCTGGCAATTCCCTTCCCCTAGCTCCCTGTGATTTGTGAGCATTTAAGAAGCTTGTCCCTGACTTCAATAGGAATGGGATCAAGTCCTTAAATACTTGCATTGAAATCTAACATCCTGACCAAATCTTTCTGGGTGATGGGACGCTCACCAGGACAACGACGGCAAATGTTAGCCCCTTCTGCAAGACAATGCACGTGTGACGAGCAGCAGGATTGTTTTCTTGATAGTAAACCAGGCTGGAGTGGAAGTCCCGATCCCATTTCATGTATAGGATGGTTTGGATAGGAATAATCTTGCCTCAGGACTGGACTAGATGACCTCTGAGGGCCCCTCCGGCCCTGTGTCTGTGAATCTGTGCAATAGGAGGAGAGGTTCAACAACATCCACAGCCAACAATTTTGAAGCTGTCTGTACTTTTGCAATTGCAATTAACTGCAGATGCAAATAGTCACATGGGGCCATGTGCATGCTAGTTTAGGAACTGCCAGACAGACAGACCCGTGTCCTGGCATTGCTGGATGCTTGGATGCTGAAGTTGGCAGTGATGGCACAGCCTTCCAGAGGGACGTATTTCCACAATCTCCCTCAGTTAGAGCTTGGCTGGCTGCCCTGATTTTATGTCTGCAAATACTTGCCCTCCGAAGTTTGCCCATAACTGACTGTGGGCACAAAATTGGAGGCTTTAAAATGTAACCACTAGAGTTTTAAGAACAAGCAAGCAGCACGTACAGATATCCAGGGAAGAGGGCAGGGAGGGAGGTGCACGTCTTCTTATTCTTGTTGCATTAGCAGTCTTCTCAGCCACGATTGCAAGGAGTCCAAAAAGTTCAATTAAAAGTTGCGGTTGAAGATCAAAGGTTGTGGGTGTTACTATTCATGTCCTGCCCTGGTCATGCTGTGCACGGCCATCGGTAAGGCCAGAGGTGACGAGTAGCTTTCTTCGCTGTCACAGGATAACGTGGTAGCACTTCCTTTTGCTGCTGCGTAATGACCCTGGGGTTTTTGTAGTTATTTCTGCTTAGCCTTTCTGAAACAGCACGCGCAGCTCGTCACAGCATATGCAGGAAAGACCTGCCGTCTACTGGGTCAGACTGTGGGTCCGACCTGCCCAGTCTCCCGTGTCACACAGTGGCAGGGCCTCGTCTACATGAGACGCTTAATGCACAGTCGCTTAATAATAATACTGCGCAGTAGCACGTCACAGCACGGACAGTGCTAATATGCTGCTGCGCGGCATTACTAGGCTACTGCGCCATAGCGTCACTAAAAAGGCGTTCGCCAGTGCTACTGCACAGTAACTGCAGTGACTGCACATTTACTTAATACTTCATTAAGCCAGTACTAAAATAAATGCGCAGTAACTACTGCGTATTAATGAACGTGTAGACACGACTAGGGAGCGGATGCTGAAAGGGAGAGTAACCTGTTACTTTCCCACCTGGATCCTCCAGCATTTAAGTCTAAGAGGTTCTGATTCAGGGCCTGTGTCCCTTGTTCCCAGGCCCAATAGCTACTGATGCCCCTTTCCTCCAAGATTTATTCCAGTCCCTTTTTGAACTGGGCTAAACTGCCAGCTTCTGCTACATCTGGTGGCAACATCTGGAATTCCACACTTGTCATCCCGCGCGGTGTGAAAAAGAGCTGCCTTCTGTTAGTTTTAAATCTACCCCCTACTGGTTTCATCTTAGGACCCCTTGTTCTTGCATTGTGTGAGAGAGTAAATAATAAATCCCTGTTTATTTTCTCTTCACCATTTAGTATTTTGTAAAGCCTCATCATAGCCCATCCCCACCAAGCATTAAAATCAAACTACCCCCCCCACTTGTACATGCACTAGTATTTAAGTGCACTGTGGTAACACATTGCTGCAGCCCTGGACCCACACGCCATGGCGCTAGGTGCTGTACAAACACAGAATAAAGACGATCCATGCTCCGATCTGCTTACGGTTCGCTGATATATTTGGCTAAGCTGGTTCATTTTCAATGTGCGCAAGACAGGTTTGGACCCAGATAGCTTCTGAGAGAGATTTTGATTCAAAGTGTCAGACTGCAAAAGAAGAGACCTAGGTGTTATTCCCAACCCCACCACTACCCTGGCTTTGGGAAGTCCCTGCTCTATGCCTTAGTTTCTCTAGGTGTAAAATGGGGGATAAAGACAAATAACTTCCTTTGTAAAGTGGAAGGCCCCATTACTGCTTCCATTAGGCCTCCAAGGCTTGACGGTGGTGTGTTTATAAATGGGTTATTAGATAGGGAAATAGTAGCAGTGGAAAATTCTGGTTTACTTTACTTGAGACCTCTTGACAGTCAAGGAATGTTTCCTATATTTCAAGTCCTGGATCTGATCGTTATCATCTGCATTAGTATCAAGGTTGGTGGCGGAGAGAACAGCTCTGTTGTGTTTGGCTCATGTCCTGAGGCATATCAGAAGTGAGATTTCCCCATTTCAGTGAGGGAAAATGTAGATGTAAAATAAAAGTCCCACTGGATGTAACCCCACTCCTGCTGACTTCCAAGAGCGTAGGTGAAACTCTCATTGACTCTGGTGGAGCCCCACGGAGGCCTTAGCCAGTGAGACCCCAGGAAAGTATAAAGCAGAGTGTATGGCTATTGTGTGACAAGGTTATTTGGGTAGATGTGATATCTTTTATTGGACCAACTTGAATAGCTGGAAAAAAAAAATTTGCAAGCTTTTGGAAAAGCTTGCAAAATTTTTTTTTTCCTAACTATTTAGGTTGGTCTAATAAAAGATATCAGATTCACCCACAGACCCTTGTCTGCCTATGTCCTTAGACCAACACGGCTACAACCTAGACCTCCGGCTATTGTGTGGAAAGCTGCTTCTAATCCTGCCCTGCACTCAGGGGTGGGAAGGGGAACTTTAAACCTACCTTTGAACAAATTAGAAACAAAAGCTTATGGGGCCAGATTCTGCTTTCTGCTGTGAAACTGTGGTATAAGGAAGATCAGGATATGAGCCCTCCTTTGTATGTGAATCCAGGGTAGCAGGACTATAAGACCACCTTGTATAGTCAATTCACGGCGAGGGGCTTAGACACGTATTGGTGCGTGAGACTGGCAAGGGCAAGACCGAGGGGAAGCTGTAGCAGCATAGGGCCTGCTCCTCTTCCTGGGACTCCCTGAGCACACGTTATTACAGCCCCAGGTCATTGCCAGTGCCACAGTCTTCTCTGTTCTTTACCGCTGGCCTGCAGCGAGGAGCCTTTGGTTTTGCAGTTGTGGTGCAAAAGGCCATAGAGTAGATGGATTTCAGGTTGAAGTTTAGGACCCTTTGGACATGCGTGAACACGGGGGACCAGACACAATGGCTGGAGGGCCCCTTCCTGTGGCCCTACAGTGCAGCCCACAGGATTTGGCCCACAAATCACTGGGCAAGGAGATGAAAGGGGGCCCTGCTGGAATTCCACTGACCAGAACAGCAACATGCTTCCCGTGTTATAATTGCCTGCCACCCCATGTATGTCCCCTCAAAGAGGCTATCCATGGAGCGTCAGTGATCTTTGGGTGAGTTCAGTCGTTGGGTAGATGGGCAGGTCCAAACTGGGCCACAATCCTGCATGGTACGGAGCAATGGCAGCTGCCGCTGGTTCAAATGCATGTTCCAGGTACTTGAGATATTGGCTGTGAGCATGCAGGCGTCATCCCCAGGCCAAGCTCCAGAACATCCCTCCACAAGTTAGGATGCACAGAGCCTTTTGGGCAGCCCATCTGCATTTGCAGCCAACTAGGGCAGAGGACACTGAATTCAGCCCTTCTTCTGTTGGCTGATGCGTAGGCAGTAAAAAACAGAGGAGCCTGGAGGAGAAACCAGGAAGAGGCTTCACAAACCAAGAAGTAAGTGTGTCTGTGTGGGCGCGTCTACACGTGGGCATTTACTGTGCAGTAACTGAAATTACTGAGCGGTACAGGCACATGTCTACATGTACAAGCCCGTACCGTGCAGTAAATATGGTGATTTACACCAACTTGAGCATAAATTTGATACCTGCATCTTGCAGATATCAAATTCATGCCCAATTAGTTACTGCGTGGTAATGCATGTGTAGATTCTTTGCTACATAGTAACATTGTGTGTGTGCGCGCGCATGTGTGTGTGTGTGTGAGTGTGTGTGGATTGACTTGGGACTAATCTTAGTCCCAAGTCAGTTCACATACAGCGTTAATGCACTTTTAACGCCTGCATGTGTAGATGCCAGCCTATTCCCATTTACTGTGCTGTAATATACTGTGCAGTAAATTTAAGCTGGTGTAAATGCACGTGTAGACATGCCCTGTGCGTACGATGTGTGCCTCCCTTCATGGCATCTGAGGAAATGAGCCTGGGTTCATGAAAACTTGTGCTTTCTCATATAGATCATATTTAGTTAGTCTATAAAGGTGCATATCTACCCTGACTTCAGACTCGCACCTCTGTGTGTGCATATGCATGTGCACCTGAGACTGGAGAAAGGGCACCCCCGCCTCCAAGAGATTAGCCCATGGTTTTCAATCTCAGATGAAGCCCCGGCCCTGCAGGAGTCAGTGATGGCTTTTGTATGGGGCTCTACTCGTTACGTAACACCCGAGCTCTTTCCAGTACCGCATGGAGAGATATGATTAACATTTGCCACCCACACACCCACTCTTCCTTTCCCGTCCTGGGGGGAAAACCTTGCAGACAGTGGGATGCCTTGTTTTGTCAGCATTTCTTCTTGAGTTTGTTTTAACAAGTGCATGCTACTCAATGGGGCTGGGATTTATTTCACTCCTGCTGCTTCCTGGGCTGGGTTCTGCAGCAGCCGATGGCAAAACTCCTGCAGACAGATGTGACACAGCCAGGTTGAGCGGTGGGGATCTACTTTAGCACATTGAAGTGCCTGAATTCGGCTACAGACAAGCATCCAGCCTCTTGTCAGGACTTGCTGGAGAAGAAGAGACACTGATACACAGCTCCAGTCTTGGTACACAGAGCACACTTCTGTGAAAGGAAATCATTCAGCTGGAGTAAAAACAAGCCATCACATTTTGTCCCTGCTTTAAAAAAACAGTCCATTGATTTGCAAAATGTCAGTGTTCAGAACCAGAGTAACATGCCCACTGTTTTTTGTTCTGACTGCACCCATATCTAGACCTGGAAATTCTTGCCAGGCCTGGTCCAGGCCATGTGTGTGACTCCTTCCTCAAATTGCCGTTGTGGGAAAGACCCTGGAGGTAGTCGAGCACTTCCCTTACACTGGCAGCCACACTGAACATTGATGAGATCCAGCACGACCTCCAGGCTGCAAGTGCCTCCTGTGGGAAGTTGCTTCATCATCTTTTTATGGATCGTGATCTCCAAAAAGACACCAAGATCCAGATCTACAACTCAGTCATCATCCCCACGCTACAGATGTGAAACGTGGGTAAGCTATCACTGTCATCTCAAGAGCCTGAAGAGGTGTCAGCAACGATGCCTCCAGAAAATCCTCTGCATCAAATGGGAAAATCCCCACACAAACACCAGCATCCTTGCTGAAGCCACTGGGCACCTATGCACATGACGGACCTCTTCTACGACGCGTGCTAATTAGCATGTGTCAGAGCAGACTCAATTAATCAAGTCTGTCGTGCATCTGCTGGAGCATGCTAATTAGTGCGCTCCAGCAGCCTCTGCATCACATGCATTCAACACCCCTGTTTCAAAATGGCAGCGGGGACTTCAACTAAAACTGGTTGAATAAGATTTAATTAAAGCGCTCCCGCCACCATTTTGACACTGAATACATGTGACACTGCATGCACTTTAAGTGACTTTCAGAGCCGTTCTCGTTAAAGCGCCGTCCCCCCCCCCCCCCC